TTTTTTCTCGTATGTAGTAGTCGTTCAGAGCCCTTCGCGAAGCCGCCGGTCTTCATCCCAGATTTCCTCTTTCATCTGCTGTAGTCGAAAGTGCTGTCGCCGTAACTTCTCCAGCTCCGCCCTCGGTGGATCTGAATGGGCTGCCATTGTATCGTGCAGTGTGCGGTACTTGGCATAGTAGTGTTTAAAGCGCTGCGATTTCTCTCGCAGCTGCTGGAGAAGAATCTCCCGACTAAGGGGTGGTGAAGCACTTCCGGTGCTACCACTCGATGTGCTAACCGCCCGTCGTCGCTTGTGCTCCAAATCCCCTGTTGTACGTCCCTGGGCGGGAGTTGCAGAAGGGCGGTCGAGTTCCGCCTTACGCTTGAGGGGGTTGAGCGCCGGAGTTGCCTTGGCCATGCCATTGGTTTTCACCTGCTTCTTAACATTGGAGGCACCCGTAGCTTTGTTTGGTTTGGATATTTGAGTAATCAAAGGCGATGAGGAAGAACTGGAGGAATTGTTCTGACTCGAAGAACGACTGCGACTCTGTAGGTCAGAAGCATTGGTCGGGGGGGATGAGCCAAGAGGCGACGGCTTCTGAGGAGATTTCTGGGCCGGAGGGCGGGAGGATGGTGGCCTCTTTGATGAGGTAGTAGGTTTTGGAGGATTTGGGGGCGACGATTCGGCTTTGGATGGGGCGCGCTCTGACTGGTCTACCTTGGGTGTCGGCACATGGGGGGACTCTCGAGGAGAAGACTCGGCCTGTTTGGGTGGCACTTTAGGCTGTAGCTTAGTTTTCTCTGGACGAGGCTGTTCCGATGCCGATGCATCTGGTATGTCTGTGTCATCTTCATCTGAATCATGAACGTATTCTGCTGATTTAAACTTCCCATCCGGCTTGGGGACTGGCTTCCGTTCCGGCTTTTTAGTGACACGCCCAGTCAGGGTACTGTTTGTCGTATTCTTTCCCTTCGCAGTAAATTGCTTCGTTACAGAGTTGCCGACTCGCTTCTTTTGTGCGTTGGCACCAGACCGGGGAGCTGATGTGGGCTGTGTCTTGGGGGTCAAGCCATTTCCATTGACCCTATCGGTTTCCGGTCCAGTCGTGTCGCCGTCTTTGCCGCTCTCGTCGGGGTTTTGTACTTGTATCCGAGGAGTCAGTGGCTTCTTAACAGGGCCGGTGCGCAAGTTCAGCCGTGACAGACACTTCCCCTTCCCTCGCTCCTCCTTTGGAAGAAGCATCTGCCATAGCTTGTCGGTGCGGGAGATCCGCATGCGATCAAATGCCGAGATAGCATTCTCAATGGCTTCCTGTCGCTCTTCCTGGGACGGATAAGGAAAATTCCATACATCCAACTCTCTGTAGGCTTTGTCCTTGAGATCGAACTTCTCCGGGTTGATTCGGTTCTCGGCACCGTATTTCCGAGCCAAAGCCGTACAGTCTTCGATGGACGAGCGAGTCTGGCGAGCAAGGAACTTGGCAGATACGGCACGGACGGCGAGAAGGTGAATGAAGGGAACCTTAAGAGCGTCGAGGCGAACGCGATCTTTGGTTTGGGAAGCGGTGCTGAGGTAGGAGTGAGGGGAGGTACAGAAGTAGGAGACCGAGAGACACCCAGAGCCGGGCTGGACGACAACGAGCGATTGGTTGCATTTTTCAGCAACCGGTCCTTTTCCAATTCCACCTTACTCGAGGACTTCCGAGCTAAAAGAGCGGCCTGCCTTTTGTCGCCTGCTCGAAGAGCCCTCACCTCATCAATGCTAGTAATTATATGGGTCTTCTTCGATTCCTTCCCCCTCTCAAAGGCGTTCAGACTCTGTTCGAGGTTGGCCAATGCTTGGTCTGTGGCCGCAGTAGCCTCTTTTGCTTTCTGAACCTCCAAGCTATGGCTCAGGACACCAGTAAAATATAAGTTTTCTTTGTCATTGGAGCTGCGGCTATAGATCTCGGACCGGTGAGTCTCGGGATGAGAGTGAAACGGTTGCGATTTGGATCCGTAGTAGAGAGTGGGATGTTTCCCTAAACGGACCCTAGCTGTTTGGTCGTCCCGTAGCGTTTGGATCAGTTCGTCGAGGGTGCTCTGAGCTAGGTTTAGCCGCATGATCTGCGTTGGTTTAACCGTTGAATCGCTCCCGGGGTTGTCTCTGTGTAGAGACAACCCGGACACTGGCACCTCAAGAGCCGGCATGAGGTCGCGGGAAAGTCGTGGAGGAGGGAATGGCACCGAAACGAGAGAACGGAGGAGAGGATACGATCGAAAATCGAAGGGAGAAGAGGAATTGAGAGGAGGGCCAGGTAGAGGACGTCCGGGTGAAAGACGGGTAGCAGCGTGAGAGCTGCAGGTCAGCGGCCGAATACACGGGAGGACGAGTCAGAACAACACGCCATAGATCAAGCAATGGAGGATCGAGGAGAGTTTGAAAGGGAGTTTGCATATGGAATAGCAAACGAAACTCTTGAGTAACCAAAACCCATGGCAGAAGGGTTGGCCTTGGGAGTTGGATCTCAGAGGGGAGGGAAGTGGAGGACAGAGAGGGGAAGGGGTGGGGAGAGAGAAAAAAAAAGAGGAGAGAGGGAGAGAGGGAAAGCTGAGATGAGATGATGCCAAAGCAAGCAGGATGAGAGCGTAAGGCGGCCCTAGAGCGGAGAGAGCCAGAAGTGAGTAGTTGAGTGGGGAGAGGCGGTATGGTATTATTCAGGGTACCTTTTCTGGGCCAAGGAGTTGTCAGGCCCGCAGGATGTTTAATCCAATTTGGGTCCGGGTGTATAATACGAATCATCTTCACGGTTTGATTGATTAATTTATTTTACCACTTGGGTCGTATATACACCTACAGTCCTCCGGTTACTACCGTTTACTATACCCTGTAAGAAGGACCTAACCAAGTCGCCCCGTCATAGAACCAAGAAAAGAATGTCAATAAACTTCAGTATTATAGGTCGTTCGATGCGGTTCCCGGAGGTTGTCGGCCACCCATCATGCGGACTTCAAGTACATCCATACCTACCTTTCGGGAAAGGAAGAGAAAAAGGACAAGGCAGAGGAAAAATCGTGTGGCGAGTCAGGGTCAGAATGCCGGAGACGAAATGCTTGTATCAAGAGAGAAATCCGTGTTTGTATCGTACGTACCAAAAGGCCTCCATAACTTGACTGTCCCAGGAGAAAGAATCAGAAGGGAAAGAAAGGACGAATAATAATAGGAAGGGGAAAATAATAGTACCACCACTAGTACGGAGAAGGGCGTACCGTATGGGACGGAAGGCCCGCCCCAACTACCGTACGGATGGCGAGGCAGCGGGTATTTTCAAACGTACTCTAGAGTCACGGGCACCTCCTAAATTAATAGTGACCTCCGTTACAGAATAGAATACATACCAGGATTGACTTATGATGATACTAGGTCACTACTAGTAGTAAAGTCTTCTCTTTCTCCTTCTGGAACATTGATCCCTACCAACGATCGATCGGAAAAGCAATCATGGATGGAGTCATCCATCCAAAACCTCGTACTTTTTGTCGTCTGTAAGTTTCACCTCGATTCTGTTTTGCTTTGTTTTTTTCTTTTTCTTTTTTTTTTTAAAAAAAA